TGAAACATCTAGAAATTAGAGCTTATTGAAATTTTCTTTTCTTAGTTGAAGGATTTTAAAGGACAAACATAAAATTACCAAGTAAGAAAGAAATTTCGAGTTTTGAAGAATTATGTTTGGCCAAAAGAAGGAAGATGAAGAAGAAGAAGAATTATGCATTACCCACAGAGGAGAGAATATAGGCCTGGCATGTGTAGAAGGTTGCATGATACATAAGTTCATATGATTCAATAAAAAAAATAAAAAAATAAAAAAAAAGGGGAAAAATATAATAGATGAAGTTTCTGAGACAAACCATTCTTATAGATATCTGGCAAAGTGAAGCTTATAAGTTCATAAGGTCCAAATATGTCACTATCAGCGATCCTCCATCCAGTGAACATGCTCCTAATTCGTCTGACTTCACTTGCATTGAATAAATTAGAACTGTTGCTACTGACATTATAAACAGGATAAAGCTTCAAGTACATTCTCAGCCTTGGTCCTTCTTCCCATTCAAATGAATTTATGTACAGTTGGAAAAGATTTAAACTGAGGCCATTAGTCAGGTACACCTCAAATGGTTCTAGATATGGAGGAAAATCGGAAAAGCCAGGACTTTTCAACCGATATCCTACAGGCAAAGGCACAGCACAAAAGCAATCGATAGGAGATGTAGGGGAATACTCATATGGCGGTGGGCATGCTTGCGGTGGACAGCTAGTGGTGGAGTTTGTTGCAGTGCTTATTGTAGTTTCATTCTCACTTTTAGTTCCGCAGAACAGAACTATATTGTTACTTGATGCATTCGAGCATATACGATTCCCTTTAAGCCTGAAACACAAGAAGATATTCAACTTCAGAGTGCAGTTTCACTTTAGGCCCCACTTTTTTTTACAAAAATAGAAAAGTATAGCACTTTAGTCCTTAAAAGGTATAGAACCAAGAGTCCAAAAAAAAAAAAAACAGAGTTTTCACTTTTCAGTAAGCAAACATGCAAGGGCACGTTAAATTGCAGATGAAGAAAATGGATATGAAGGTGAAGACACATATAATCCACCAAAGTAAAAGCAGAAGAAAGGCCAGGAGCAAACCAGAGAGTGACATTTTGGGGGAGGTCAGAACTGCCAGAAATACTGTCAAGAGAATTGTTCTCCAAATCCCTGCACAATGTAAAGAGCCGCAGAGCATTGATTAACTAAACAAGATGCCAAAATCATTCATTGAACAACACAAAGATTACACTATTGATCTCAAGTGAAAATACATGAGGATGCTAAAGTTGAAAAATATGAAATGTAATGTAGGGTTCAGAGTCTAAATAATGAAAAACGTGCTCACTTATGCACACACAGAAATTCACTTTTAGCCAAGGGAAATATTAACTTAAATCTTTTCAGGACTTACACTGTAAGATGCTTTGATGCATTTTGAGTCCTGTTCTGCCAAATGGAGGATGGAATCGAGCCATTCAATGAATTATTTGCAAGTGTCCTGCCAAGATGATTATCTAACACTTTTAAATCCATTTAGTTAATTACACAGTTAAATATACCGTGATGCCATTAGCTACTAACTTAATTTGTAGTGTTCACAAAGACAAGAAACAAATTAGAGGAGACCAAGCAGAAAATGCTCACAGATCCTGGAGAAAAGGTAGACCCGAAAAGCTGGCAGGAATAGTTCCACTAAGGTCATTGTTGGATAGATTGCTGCACATATATCCAGACCATAAATGTCAAAATTGAAGGAAATCACCAGTATGGTAATCTAAAGTATTCACAAAATCTTAAAAGGAAGCAAAACAAAAAAAAAAGATTGTAGATTGAAAGAGAGAGAATCTTACATGGTTGTGATATTCTTTGCAATCGTGCTAGTAGGAATGGGTCCACTTAGATGGTTTGAACTCAGGTCCCTGAAGTTTATATAGCCAAAATCATGAAAAGAAGATATAGCAGTTACATTTAAATTTAATTCTCTAACGGGAAAACCATTCCATCATAAATGATATATAAAGAATAAACATTTAAACTTACAGATAATAAAGGTTGCGTATCTTGCTTACGTCGGGGATTGATCCTTGCAAGTTGCAATTCCTGAGACTCCTGATAAAGCAACAAAGAGTTTCAGCATAACAAATTTCTGCAAACCTTCAAGTCCATGCTTCCAAATAATCATCTTCAGTAAAAAAAAAAATAGAAAAAATAAAAAATGAAAAACAAAAGCAAAAATTATTAGGGTAGGCTGTGTTGTTTAGCTTCTCAAGAGTACAGTATTTGAGGTCCATAACTTATGAGACTTGAGATAGGTGCATAAAATATATTTCTATCTTGGCATAAGCATGGGACTTCATGGTTTTAATAATTCCATCTCATCCTAGTCATGTAAGCAAACAAAATTTCCCTCTGAAAATCATCTTTCTAAGTTTTATCAGTTTCTCTTGCCAATTAAATATTGCTTCAGAAAAATTTCATGGTTTTGTATTCAGTTATTTATGAACCAATGTTTTGCGTATAATTTTAGTTTTCTATTTCATAAACAACAGATTACCACGCTTTCTTCCTTTCAAATGTGGTCATGTATTTCATATAAAATATCAGCAATAAGATGCTAACACCTAGCTCCTTACCTCTAACTTCTAAATCTACTTAACAGCATAGGATTACAGCAAGCACTTACAACTTAAATAATGTGGGAATGCTTCCATACGATTCTGGAATAGTGGTCCCATCATCAAAGTGGTTGTTATCAAGTTGACTGAAAAGGTGGAAATGGAATCTCTCAGGGAACTCAAAGAAGATTATATATTCAAAAATGAAATGTAAAGGCATTTAGAAGTAACAACTGAGAATACCCCACAAAAAAAATTATCAAAAAACATAATATGTGGAACAAATGTAAAGATTTCAGACTTTATTAATGACATAAGTGTTCTTTATAGTGCATTGTATATATACTGCAGCTCTATCCTATTATTCTTCTCCTTGGGCTCAAAAATATACAACAACTTTCACTATCATTATACATTTCCATTTTGGTATCTCATGAGAATCAGAACAAATGACTTAGAAGCATAAGTTCATGTCAAAATATTTTCAGGGAACTAGTGAAGAAAGAAAACATACAGGATGGTTATATTTGGCATTTGGGCAAGCTCTTTTGGAAGATACCCTGATAAGTTGTTATTGTCAAGAAGCCTGCAGAAGAGAAAATGAATGGAGCCTTAGAAGCCTTGGATTTAGAAGGAAGCTGAGTTGCAGATAATGACAAACTTACAAGTGAACAAGGTATGGTAATCTGCCAAGCTCTGGAGGGATTTGTCCACTAATTGAATTGTTATTCATGTGACTGGATCAAAAGGGGAAAGAAGATAAAGAATGAATTTAAAACATAAAAGGAAGGTGAAGCAAGAACAAGAAGGTACACCAGAAGTGATGAGCAGACTATCATCAGAGACACCCTTACAAATGCTGTGTTTTGTTTAAGTTTGCAAATGATGTAGGTACTGGTCCAGATATGTTGTTCTGGTCAATTTGAATCCTGTTTAGATTTGGTAGATAGCCCAGCTCATCAGGCAAGGAACCTGTCAATTGGTTCCCATTCAAAAGCCTGCACATAAAATGCAATTTCTAAATGAGCGAAAAGCAAAACTGATGCAGATCTGCAGTATTACAATGTTAATAATGAGATAACAAATGATCCAGAATCATCATTATATTAATTTAACTTACAAGAGTTTCAAGGTTGTGATATTACCAATCTCCTTTGGTATACTCCCAGTTATCTTGTTCCACATAAAATCCCTATTGCAACAGAAATGAACAAAGACCATCACTAGGTGAAAAATTATGAAGCTTATAGGGAAGATTGAACTTTTATTATATACTTAGCCTCACAATATTTCCAGATGAGACAAGCGGCCAAGTGCTGGTGACAAATTTCCTGACAGATTCAAATTCAGGAGTTGCCTGCATGAAACAAAAAATGAATAAAGAGGCATAACACAATTGTTGACAAAAATGTGAACCTGAGAATCAAAAAAAAAAAAAGGATATCAACCTGCAATGAGGTGAAAGTCTACCTGAAGCTAATATCTAGTCTTTGTGGGTTTCTTATCAGTTCATTAGATTTTTAGAAAATTCTTGACATAAAAACAATAAAATAAGATAGCATTAACCAGTTAATGGCTTTGATATAATGAAAGTGTCATAGCAGCAACTTTTCAATGACATTAAGATGTATTGGCAAGTGTTCACCTTTACTTGATTTGTGCCCGTACTTATCTGGATGGAATGACTACAGTCATGGGGGATTTTTCAATAACATTCAACAAAAATGGGTTTATCTTATGGAATTTAAGTTCATATTGGTACTATTTTACAACTCAAAACTTACAATTCTTGGACATGTAGATAGCCATCGTCCAGGGTTGTATTGGAGCATATAACTCCAGTCCAATTTGATGTGCATGGATCTCCCCGCTTCCAATTACTCAAATTTTTATTGGGATCAATCAAACTTCTCTTGATAGTTCGCAATGCACTCACTGCAAATTTATGCAATCCAAATCAACATTAATTAAGGATCCAAAGAAAGAATTCGGAGTTAATCATGTTTCTACACCACATGACTCCTATTGAGGAGTCTAAAGCTGAGCCAAAGCTATAAAACAGCGTTCAATAGACTAAGAAATCTAGGCTTGGTATTGACACATATGCTTAAACACAGTCCTGTTCTCAAGGAACAACGTAAACTCCAAGCATTCTCTGAAGAAAAAAAAAAAACTGCTGAAGCAAGCTGCAGATGCTCCAGTAAAATCATTTTCTACCATACTCAATCAGAAAAGCTACCTTCCTCAGGCTGAGTGATGGGATTTTGTGCTCCAACAAGCAGTGAAGACAGAAAGAAGCAGCCGACAAAGACAGCTCCCAAGGTCCAGACTTTGGATTTAGACATCCCAAGATTGCGGAATTCAGCAGAGTTCTGAAGCATCTCTGATCACAAACAAGTGGGAAGCTTTCAAGCATCCAAAAACTCTCCCTGCACAAGCACACCAAGGAAATAAAAATTTCACCTTTCATCAAAAAAGGAAGGAGCTTTAATTTAATTTGCATGCATTATCAACAGAAAAGTGAAATACTTCCAAAATTGCTGTGTAAGACAGCTAAAGAGACAATAAAACCAAACGAATTTAAAAAGAAATTAGGTTGGGAAGACAAAGAAAATAGTAAATCATTACTTTGCAGAGAGATAGAATAGAATTGTAGAGACAGACAGACAGAAGATAATTTCTGCAACACGAAAATGTAAAAAAGTTTGAAACCTTGTGTTTGAGTTGGTAATTGGTATATCTCTGACCAGGTCCCCCATGGGGAAGGTGGCGGAATAGATTTTGAAGATGATGGTGGTGACGACGGCCATCTCTTTCTTTGATTATTAATCAGTCTATTATTAATCTGTAAAATGTGCGCGTGTCATCATCATTAATTTGAAAGGCCCAAAGGGCCTGGATTTCTCCGTCTCCCCTCTATTTTATCTTTGACTTTCTGGGAAGGTGGAGTTTAAACTACTCTAACTGACAAAAATTGAATAACATTACATAATTAGCCAAAAATCATCAAAAAGGCTAATAAAAAAAAAAAAAAAAAAAAGTTTAAGTCCTACCTCCTTTTCCTTTTCCTTTTCGGCAAAAATCAATATTTAACCCCCACCTTACAAAATTAATCAATTTTATTCTCTTATTTTATAATAATTTTAGCTCTTTTATTTTATAAAATTGATAAATTTTAACCCCTTACCTTATAAAGTTGATAAGTTTTAATCTTTTACCTTATATTATAATATTTTTAACCCATCACCGATATGAATTAAAAAAAATAACCCTTACTTAATATCAGGTTATAACATTCTATTAGTTCTGTTAGTTGACTGTTAATATTTGTTAGCATTCCATTATAAAAAATATGAAATTTAAATTCAATTTTATTTGTTAGTTTCATTAATGGAATTTTAACGGATACTAACAGTCAACTAATAGAACTAATAGACAACTAATAGAACTAACAGTCAATTTATAAAACTGACAGCCAGCTAACAAAACTGACAATCAACTAACAAAATTAATAGAATATTAAAATATAATGTTAAATAAGGATTATTTTCTCTAATTCATAAAAAAAATGGTTAAAAGTATCATAATATAAGATGAGACGTTAAAACCTATTAACTTTATAAAGTAAAATGTTAAAAATTACTAATTTTATAAGATAAAAAGTTAAAAACATCATATTATAAGTTTATGAGTTAAAATTTATTAATTTTACAAGATGAAAAGCTAAATATTGGTTTTAGCCTTCCTTTTCTATGTCTGTTCGTCATTCGCCATTGACTTGTACTTTCTACTTTTCTCTTATTTTGATCCTTTTTATATCTCCCTCATCATCCACGTTTTCTTCTTACAGCTCTCTTCTTTAGACCTCTTACATTTTATAAGTGTTATTAAAGGTTTATTATGACACCTGGTTTCATGCTCCATTGATTTTATATTTTATAATAAAATGTATTCTTTCAGTCCATCCAATTCGAATCCTACTTCTTCTTCTTTTTAATTGTAATAAAAAAAAAGTTTATTATCTTTTTTATCTCTATTTTTTTCAAGATTTTTAAAATCGAATCGGTTATTAAACCATTTTTAGATTTGGTTTTTGGTTCAATTGATTCGACTAATTAAACCAATAAACCGATCAATCCAAACAACAAAAGAAATCCAATGACAAAGTAGGTTGCAGGCGGGATTTTCTAATTTGGTGTCTAATAATTTTGTAATTTTGTTAAAATTAAAGGTTAAAATGGGTATAAGAAAGGAATGGAAAGGTGAAATTGGAAAAAATGAAAGAAGATTACATGAGATATTGAACCGGTGATTTTTTTGGTTCTATCGATTTCATTGGTTTTGATTGGTTTTGACCGATTTTAACCTCAAATGGTTTTTTCATGTAAATCAAACCATTTTCATCACAAATATTGATCTGACCAATTTAACCGATCAACCCAGCCCAATTTTAAAAACCTTGATTTTTTTGGTCTTTTAAAGCATTTCAACATCAAAAAGTTATAATTTTTTTATATATATATTTTGACAACTCATCAACATTATAATCTCATACGTCGCTTCATTTTATCAATTAATTGATATCTTTTTTAATTATTATAATTTTTTACGTAAGGTATCTCTTTAATTTCACCAATGAAGTATTCTTTTACTCTCTCACTTTTGATTCACAACTATTTTTTGGTGACGTAATTAAATCTTCCTTTTGTATTTAAGAGTAAAATTATTTTATATAACAAACATTTCTTTTTTACAACAAAAATCACATATTAATGTAAATAAGTTTTTTTTTTTTAAATACAATAGATTTTAATTGTATTTCTTAGAAATCAATTGAGGCTTAAACGCAACATTTTAAATGATTTATTATGTCATTTATTAAAAAGGTGATTTGTTATGTTTTAATTTTATAAATTTATACGATATCTAAAGTGGTATTTTAAAAGTAAAAAATAATAATAGTATATGATTCAAAAATTACTTGATGATATTATCATTATTTAATGTAGGCTATTAAAAGTAACATAAGCAAAATAATAATTTAAAGAGGAACAAACCTTTGATATTGAGTGTTTTCCCCATTTAAGATTTTTTATTTTATAATTAATACATGTAGTATAAATTGCCAAATAATATTTTTTTATTATTTATTTTTAACAATAAATTTTTAATTATAATTTTTTTAAAGTAAAAATACAACTTCCAACTTCCAGCAAAGTGGGTTGGAAAATGTTAGTATCAAAAAAGGTAGACGGCTGGACTACCTGCTCCCACAGTCTCTTGACCCGTTCTTAAAGTCCCTGTCACCAATAAATAATCACCTTGTTCTTATTTTAGATTTCTTTTGTGCCTAAAATATTGAGGGTAAGGGGAAATATAAGGTTAGTGCAGACGACAGTGATTCTAATCAGGACTTATAGTAAGCAGTTTGTCTTAAGAAGGGACCATTTATCTATCAGGAACTGTGAGTAATAAGATTCAAACTTAGAAAAATCAATGAAGAGATTCAGTCTTATCAACTAAGTTACTTTCTTACACAGATTTCATGTTGGATGGGCGTTTCAAAAAAAAAAAAACAAAAGAGGTGGATAAATTCTAGAGGTTTTGAAAGGGTTTGGTAGGGTATGTTAATCTTATGACCAGGTCTGTGCATGTGCAGGTGCAGGTAAAGGGTAGTTTGCCATCGTTTTCATCTCCCTTTTTATTGAATCAAATGATCCATTCAACTTCAACTTGAGATTATAAAATTTCAAAAGGAAGCTTTCGGCATCTCTTGATGGGTTTGGCAATTGACTTTTATGCCTGCCTTGTTAAGTCGAGACTGATTCATTATCCTATAAGATTCTTAGATGGAATAAATTGTCAAAATCTCACGTTTAATCTTTTGTCTGATTAAATTTATTATTTTTATCTTCACATCTTGTATATTTTCAACTTTTAAATTTAAAATTTTAAAAGTTTTTCTCTTAAATCAACAAAAATCATTAACTTAATTAAATAAACTTAAAAATTACAAGATAATTTCTTAAAATTTAGGAAAAGTTACAGTTAAGTCCCTCAAATTTAAAAAAAAGTTAACAATCTAATTCCAAAAGCTTTTGATTTATTAATTTATTTTTAAAAAAATTTAATAGTTGACCCTCACTTTTGAAATTTGGAAGATTTATCTTATAATTTTTTAATTTTACATAACAAGAGTTAATGACTTTTGTTGGTCTAGCTTATAAAGGTTAAAATTTTCAAATTTTTTTAAATTTAAAGGCCAAAAGATTTAATGTACAAAATAAAGAATCAAAAATAATAAATTTAATAAAGTAATGGACTAAATATCAACTTTTACTAATAAATCTTAGTAAATAAAAACGATAAATAATAAGAGTGTTTATGTGTATTCTAAATCCTATTGGTTCTTTGTTCTTAAAAGTTTTTCTAAGAGAATATTAAGTGCAATTAATATTTCTCAAATAACAATACAAAGAAAAAGTTAAGGTTTAACTATGATTATTATATATTTTCGTATCATCAATTAAGATCATTATGTTAGGTGGGGAGTTTCTTTCTCTTGGTATGAAATCCTCCTGTCTACATGCATTTAATTTATTGGTAGCTATCAAAATATTGCAATCTCACATGCTCAAATTGAAGATATTTCAATGGTTTTCCTTTAAAAATGAAAGAATTATGCCCACTTGTTCACCCCATGAATTTTTCATTAGACGATTTAAAAAGGTGCTTTTCACATTGAGCTTTTGTGTTTAAAAAGATTAAATTTTTTTTAAATGTCCACACAAGATTCTTGCTTTTTGGATGTTCACACCAGATTTTCTTTTAAAGAACTTCTTTAAAAGAGCAGAACACGGCTTAACTATGAAATCGGTCAATTTAGAGTTATGTATCTATGTTTTGATATATAAATTAAGAGTATATTATTTATAATTAGTTTATATAAAGTTTAAATATTGATTTTAATTACACCGAACCCTTCGGCCAAGTGGTAATAACAACCATGGTGCATTCTTCCCTCCCCAGGGCTGGGGTTCGAACTCAGTCCCTTGTAAAATCAGTTCAAAAAAAAAATATTGATTTTAATTTAATTAATTAATAATTAAAATTATTCACATATTAAATTTTATACAAATTAAAAATAAAAAATATTTATTACATATTTTAACTTTAAGACAACAATTAAAAAAATCTTTTAACATATATATACACATAGAGAGAGAAGTAAAAATTAAATTGTCTTGATGCTTGTGTTTTAAATGTCAGATTTCTTACAAGATTATATAAATATTTTTAAT